AGATAAGAGAGAGAGAGAGAGAGATACAAGAAGGGTGTTGTACCATCTACAATAGGAACCACAATTCTGTAGTACACCTACCTAGCCTATATATATATACTGTATATATATATATATATATATAATATGTTGACACATCTTAGTTAGACCCTTTGCATTCTCGTGTATCACTATATCAGGCCCTGCGATTGGTTTAGAGGTCCGCTGATTGCCTAGTGTTACCCTAAAAAAAAAAAAAAAAAAACTTTCGCACAGGGCTGGGATCAGTCGGGGTCCTGATTTTTCAGTGTTCGTGCTGAGTTTTAGACTTTCTAAGCAGGGTTACTTCGAGTTTATTGGCTGATGTTGCCGAAGTACGAGATGTGACTAAGCATGTGTCGCTGCACTTTCAGACGCACAATGCCCATTTGTAGAACATAAGCAAACCTCGCCTCTACTTTTCTGTACTTACTTTGGCCTCTCTAGTTTTGACAGCAGCTTGTCACACTACTGTAGCTCTCTTTCTGGCCTTACTTTGGCCTCTCTAGGATTACTGCATCTCTCTAGCTCTAACAATCAAAGCTTAACACATCTGCCTCACTGCCAGGGGAACCTAACTTGCTAGCTACTAATCTTCGTCGTTATCATCCCAACGATCCTGTGCATCATCCCCCACGAGCTCCCCACCTTCCTCCTCCATCTCCTCCCCCTCCTCCTCATCCTCTTTCTCCTTCCCTTTCTCGCTCTCCAATCGCTTCTTTGGCCTCGCAGTCATGTTGAAGGGGTGCCGCTTCTTGTTAACTCCACCAGATGTCGACAACTTCCGCCCAGTTGGGCTCGTAGTCCAGCAGCGACATAGCCATCAGATCTGACAGGCAAGTGTCCTTGATGGCCCCGCGCTGCCAGCTCTTGATTATGTTTTGGCGTGAGAAGCCTCGTTCGCACTCCACCGTGCTCAGCGGCAGGACAGCCACCGTGATCCAGAGCTTCACCAGGTTAGGGTAGGCGTCCTGCCAGTCCGGTGTCTTCAGCATTTCGGAAAGCCCAGGGTGAAAGCCTTTCTCGCACTTCGGGGCAGCAGCTCGGATGGGGCAGAAGTTGCGCAGCTCTTTGATGGCCTTGCGCTTGTCAATGCTTGACACACAGGGGAGAGTGAGGCAGGATATTAGAGGGCAAGGGTGGTGGTTCCTAGAGGCATTATTACACCAGGATGCGACAAGGACAGTGTATTGGGTAAGGTTATGGGGGGGTGGACATGGTATTGAGGGAAAAGGAGTAGGTTCTTAGAGGCATTGGCACATAAATGGGGGAGGCTTACTTACCCGGCACTATCTCGTCCGACTACTGCGCCTGGAACAAAGCCACAAGAGACATCAGGTGCTCGAGGCAGAGAGCATTGCGCTCTTTTGCCGGCCCAGCGGCTAGTCCTCCGATATGAAAAGACGGCAGCCAGACAAAGAGTCCAGATCGCCTAGCCAGTCAAGAAGATTGCCGACCATTGCCTCAGCCATTGCCGTGCAAAGATCCACGCTGCCGTTGTGCGTGAAGGGCCCATCGTAGCCGTCGATGGGGTCATCATGAAGTAGGTACGTGTGCGTTGTGGGGCGGCCATCGGCGTCAACCCCTTGGACGGTCACTTGTCGACATCCTCCTTCCCCATGGAGGCGCAAGAATGTGGAGAGGTGCTCACTGAGGCCTCCACCGAAGTCACCACCGCAGTTAACGTAGCGGGACTCAATGAAGCTAGTGGTGCAGGCGATCTGAGACTGAACGGCGGCGTAGTCGATCTGCAACTAGGCAAGACAAGTGGGAGAGATTCATGAGTAGAGGGCGATCATGTGTGTAGAATGTTTAGTTCGTTTTGGGTCAAATCGAAAAGCGTATGTGTAGCAAGGCTCACCTGCCGCTGCTGGAACGTCTTGTTCAAGACGTTCAGCTACTCAAGCAGATCGGCAAGGAACAGGAGCAGAAACTGGAACATGTAGCTAGTGGCCATCTTGTACATCCTCATGTCACCAAGCTCATGCATCATAACAATGATACCTGACAAAACGGCCACCAACCTCAGGACGGCCTCACCGCGGCTCGAGCCAGCGGACATTGAAGCTCGAGACTTGTCTGGAAAAACGTTTCTTGGAGGTCCAAGAAGCGCTGGTGCCACGGGCCCGACCGACCGAGAAACTCCGCCAACCACCGAATGAAAGCATCCGCCATTCAAAATTGCGGCAAAGAGTTTGCCGCATCCTTGGCCGCCAACGCTTCCCTGCATATACCCCAATTAGATACTGTGTTAATAGAACTTTGACAAACAACATTAGGGGAATTTCATACATCCATCGACTGTGGTCACCTATAAGCAATACAGTGGCAAGAGACCAAATGACGGATGCGGGTGCGGAGCCTCGCCACAACACCATTCCGTACACCAGTCATCACTGCAGCTCCATCTGTGTTGATGCCGGTAATGCGGTTGAGGTCGATGCCGATGGCTCCCAGGTACGACAGAAGCAAGGCAAGGAGAGAGGCTGCATCAGCTCAGTCGACGGTCTGGAGTGCGAGAAACTTTGTAACAACGGCGCCGTTCTTGACAAAGGTTGCGTAGACAATGAGGTGCTTCCCGCGGCACCGATCCGTGGACTCGTCGCAGCTTAGACCGAGGTAGAGACTGGCTCGAATGTGGTCCATCTGTGTTGTCCGAAGCCATGTTGCGGTTGCCTGGGTGAATTCTCCAAAGCCGTACCTGCATGGAAATCCCATAATGTATAAATTAGACGGCTCAAGGCAGTTGAACATTCAACAAAGTGCATAGAGCTGGTAATGGTAAATCAGCATTAGCAAAATGCTTACGCGCTGTAATAGTTGTCGTAGGCTTTCTTGGGAAAGTCATGCACTCCCTTCTTTGCCAGATACTTCACGAGCCGAACCTACGCCTCCATGGGCTCATTGCTCTGGCAGTTGAACAGCAGCGCGTCCAGCAGAGCCATAGCGCGCTCTTTCTCTATGTCTATGGCTGCAGGATGTTGGTCAATGTGTGGTTGCTGCGTTGCCGCTTGAAAGAGACCGTTCTGTCTCTGCATCGCGAGCTTGTGCTTGTTCGTGGCGGCATGGCGTTTAAATGCTTGCGATTGGACGTCAGTTGCACCCTTCCCCTTGCGGCCGCATTTCCCATTGTCCCCGGCATGTTCTGAGCAGACACTGCACTTGAACGCAGGGAATCCACCAGGGGTCTAAGTCAGGATTAGCCAAGGATAGCGCTCCTGCCACAGTGTTTTGTGCTTATCAAGAGCATCGGAGTACAAAACCTCAATAAGAGTTTGTGGGGGGCTGGGGAGGTGATGTAGAGACGAACAGTAGTGTCTCCTGCCGGTAGCGAGCCGCTCTCACCGCAGGGCATACGCTAGATCCGGGCCGGTCCACCGGCGTCGAAGCCAGCTGCGCGCTGCGCTCGACACGCCTCAATGCAGCGCCACTGGACTCGGGCCGGTCCAGAGGGGTCGGCCCCGATGGCGTGCACCGCACAGCACGCCTCGATGCAGCGACGCGTAACTCGGGTACGACGCATTTGGGAGGCTGCACATGAGCGCTCCTCCTTGAACGCCACGGTGGTAGTCCAGTCTCTGGCGAGCCTTCTGACGCTGTGACTGGAGGATCCTCCGCAGGGACCCACACAGGATCAGGGAGCGGGTGGGTCTCCCGGTGCGCGGAAGCAATGGGAAACGGGGCAGGATCGATCACATCGGTAGGTGCTACGGTACTCTGGGAGACCTCCTGAACTAGCGAGGGAGGACTAGACTCGGGCAGTGGGGCAGAGCTAGATGTCACTACAGGTTGTATTGGGAGTGACTTAGCAGAAGGCGGGACTGACGCAAGCAGTAAGTGCAACACAGAGCACGGCTCTGGTGGTTCATCAACACCCATAGCTCCGTCATTGGGATAGTTCCCCCCACCCGCAGCCATGGCGAGAGCTGGCTGGGCAGGGTGTGAGAGAAAAGACAGCCGTGGCTGCCGAGGTGTAGGAAAATCTGCTACTGTGGTTCAGAATTGGGGATAGGCAGAGCTTCGACAATCCCCTGGTTATGCTAGCTGCAGACTCCAGGAGACTGCACTCAATGGTGGGGCGGCGCTCTGGTACACGACCGAGAAGGTCACCTAGTCAGGGGCGCGTGATACTTTCCAGGCCAGATTCACTGCGTGCGTCGCAGCACGAAGCCAGTGCAAATGCCTTTATTTAGTGCTGCCTGTTTCTCATAGACCTTGACGCAATGATTTCGTCAAGTGCCAATGGGAGACATTTCCTGCGGAATGCTGTCGACAGCGCGACAACTTTCGGCAAGATTCGCATCGCGCCCTGGCACTGTTACAAAATTCATGCCGTGACTGACCCGAGGGGGGGGGGGGCGAGAGTCACACCGCCGACACCTTGAAATTTCCGTAATCATAGGAGTTGTTTGTTTCAGTGTTGATACGCGATTATGGGCTGTGTGGCCTCAGTGTCTGCTATAATAAGCACTATGAAAATTCAGACGCTTACATAGAAAAAATACCTTTTCAATAAGGTGGTAGGCCCTTCAAAAACTTTCTCATCAAGGTGGGTGCATGAAAAGACAATGAAAAAAGCGTAATCAGGAAAAATATCCTGATATCGTGGGGCCTGCACTATATGAACCTTGTATCTCTGTGCTACCGGTATAAACAATTCCGTTAAGCGTGGTTCCCTTAGTGGGAGGCTCCAACCCAGACAGAGTTCCTTGACCAATCAAACGCTTCCGCAAAGCGCACACCTACAGTTCAATCCTGAATATCCTCCGGACTATATTTTATCGCTTGAAAGACAAACACCCCACGCCACCTAAGTTGCATACCGAGAACACCTGCATTTCAAGTGTAGGAAGCTAGTCAATGTTTTAGATCGTTACAAGAGTGTAGACATGTGGTGAACTTTCACAGCATGTCCAGTGCAGGTTAGAGCGTCGGTGATTCTACACCAAAATCGTGAGAGCCACAAAGTCGTTCACTCATCTGTCCCATAGAGATTATTCCCTCTCAATGCGCGGTTCCCTTAGTGGGAGGCTCCTTAGGTTGCCGATGGAACTCTCTTCGCTTAGTCTCCTAGACCACGGTCTTTTCTCCTAACATTTAGCGTGCATTCCGTCTGCATTGGCTTGGGAACTGCTTTCAAGCGAGAGGTCGGTGTGTTGTGATCGCCCACTTTGCGGGCTGTTTGTGGTTTGACCTTGATAAACGGAACTGCCCGACATGGCTAAGTTTCTAGCGACACCAAGTATGAGGAGTCTTTTCAAGTCTAGCAAGCCGAAGTCGCCTGCTGAGCTGGTAAAGTCGACCGTTGAGTTGCTGACGTCCTTGCGAAGCTCCCAAGACGCGAAAAAGACTGCGAAGGTATGCACAGCACTTTACGGACTTATAAGTCTCACGATTGCCATCTGAGATCGTTTTAATTCTTGAAATTTCAGATAGTAGAAGACCTGGAGAAGCATTTGTATGACATGCGTATCGTGTTGTATGGGGACACTGAGACGTTCCCTAACGCAGACGCAGTAACTCTTGTGGGGGCAGAGGTGTTCAAGGGGGATTTTCTTGAACTTCTTATACGGAACCTTAGCTACCTAACTCTAGATGTAAGTGATCTCGTTGCAGTGCTCCTTTTGTGTCCTTCGGATTTATAGTGCTGATTCGATTGTTGGCGTATTTATTGTGTGCAGTCAAAACGAGATGCGGTTCAGATCAATGCTAGCCTGCAAAAGAGGCAGATTCAAAATCGTATGGTCGCGGGCGAGTACCTCATGGAGCATACGGACCTTCTGGATCTCCTCATAAAAGGGTATGCGCGAATTGGCTGTAAGGCAGGGCTATCAGGTCGAAATTTCACAATATGTACTTCCGCTGTTGCAGATATGACGATCCAGTCCTGGCGCTCTACTACGGGTTGATGCTCCGGGAGTGCATTCGCCACCAATCAGTTGCGAAGTATGTATCAGTTGAAAACTCCTTTTTGTTCCTTTCGTGGCGTTGCGTCGCTTTTGATAGTGACTGAGCCATTGTGTTGCAGGTACGTCTTGGAAAGCAAAGATTTCTTCAAATTCTTCCATCACGTGGAGCTACCCAGTTTTGAAGTTTCTTCTGACGCTGCTGCAACATTTAGGGTACATCCTTTTATGATTAATGAAACCATTTTATTGTTTCCCTCTTCACGCATCTCTGACACACTTTGCCTTTTGGGTATACAAACGCCTGCAGGAGCTCTTGATGCGGCACAAGGCCACAGCTGCTGATTTTGTATTGAAGAATTACGACAAGGCAAGTGTGTGACTGTTGGAGGTGAGCCTGCTTTGTGTAGATGGCTGTATTACAATATGCTCAAACCATTGCTTTGCTGGCACAGTTCTTTGAAGCATACAACAAGTTATTGCAATCATCTTCTTACATTACAAGACGCGTTGCAACTAAGGTCAGATATTCGCCCTCATCGTTGTTGTTTATTATGGCGTTCCAGTGTCCCTGTCCCTCCTGTTGCTTTCTTTCTCTTTTATTTTCTTCTCCCTCTCTGTTTCTGGTGGAACCTAATCTCTTCCTAAAAAGCTTATGTTCACAGCTCTTGGCAGACATGCTTTTGGATCGTGCCTATGTGATGGTGACATTGAGATATGCGAGCGATGTTGGCAATCTGATTGTGTCCATGAATCTTCTCAGGGTAATTGTGTTTTTCCTTTACCATATCTCTTTTTGCTCTTTGTTTCTGTTGCAAAGCCTAAGTACTTCATTGACCCGTCTCCCGCTTTTGACAGGATACAAGCAAAGTGATTCAAGTTGATGCATTTCACATCTTCAAGGTGTGTTATTTTTTAAGGGCAGCTGTAGCTCATGTGGTGTCAGGTGCACAAGATACAGCCGCAATTCCTGTGCACAACTCCGTGCTTCCGAATCAACCTCCCAATGTGTTCATTCAGGTGATTGTGGCCAATCCGAAGCGGCCACAAGATGTTCAGCTGATTCTTCTCAAGAACAAAGATAAGCTGCTTCGTTTTCTGCCAGCGTTGACACTCGAGAAGGGAACAGAAGCAGGTATAACATTTCTCTTTCGTCTGTCCTCAACGCAAGCTTTTTTGTTTGTGATAATTATTTCGAACCTACCTTCTATGGTTTCTATCTTCATGCAGAGGTTTCGTCATTCGAGGGGGACAAACAAGCAATTCTGAAAGTGATCGAATCAATGCAACTTAGAGACATTTCCACTGAGTCGTGATATCCAGCTAGCAACCGTATCATGCTCTCAGGGTGCAGTAGCACCTGTATCAGTAACTCATAGCAATGCATTGTAGAGCATTGCTATAGCATCTCCTTAGCCTTCCCAATCTTTAGGCGATGTATGCATTGCTTCTTAAGAAGTGTAATCCAAATTACTTAAGTTGAGTTACACTGCAGTCAGGAAGACGAAGCCGCACGTGTCAGCGTGATTGCGTTCATTGACTACAGGCCGCAACCTGCCGCCCCTTTCGCGCACGAGGAAGGTGAACCAGCGCCATGGCAGCCTCCTGCACTGTAGAGTCCTCCCCTCCAAAGCCACCTTCTGAGATAAATCAACCGTCATTCCCAGCAAGCTCGAATGGGCGAGGCCAACACTGCTGCAGCTTTCTGACTCCCTCCTTTTCAGGCCCTCAGCATTCAGCAGAAACGGTTGCGACTTCCATTGCTCTCCATCGCAGTGCTCATCCGCAAGAATTCCGGGCCGCGTTGCGATGGTAGGTGTCTGAGTTGCAACTGCTCGGGATAGAGAGACGCCCCAGTGTCGCCTCGCAGCCTTGCTGGTTGCCGCAGCTTGGGACCCTTGTGGTCCGAGTGCAAGCCGCTCACGATTTCGCTACCCTCTGCGCGCTCCTCGCCGCGTCCTCTCCTCATTCCGTCGATAGGATGCATTCTGCGGCTCTCCGCTAGAATCAGCTCGGTTATTTTTGCGCATACCTGTTAGAATGCACGCAACGACATCGCAAAAATCGTGACTGTCGCTTGCCCAATTTTATCGGAATTCCTCGATCCGGTACTCCGAAAGAGGCCACCAGCTCCCGCCAGCTTCCGCCAGTTTCCGCCTCCGGAACGCGGCGTTCCGGCGTTCTGTTATCATGGAAGCCATAGTCTAGACCCCGCCTCCTCAGCTTCCCGCCGTCCAATGCCTCTCTTGTGTCTCTCATACCACATACAGCTCTCCCTACGAGATTCGTCCGAGCCCACCCTGAAGGAGCTGGTTTCGCGCCAGGCCGCGTCAACTTTGAAAGTCTTACTTGGGTAGTCTTCTATCAAGCAACAACCTCTGTGATCCGCCTTCCGCGTGGCGCGATCGAGCACCAGATTACAGCATTAGGAGCGTCCATCCACGGGAGCGAAGCGCTTTCGAAGCAGGAGCTTCTTAGCGGCACGGACTTTAAGCCCCCCGACCATCGTAGAGAGCCAGGAGCGGGTGTAGCTCGCACGCACACGCATCGCAAACAGATTGCCGCAACTCTTTAGACTTTTGAGTCCGCTCAAAACACACTTACACTCACACACACTTACACACTCACACGTAACGATCAGGCTTCTCTACTCTCGAGTGGGCACCAGAGTTGTGTGTTTCGAGCCAGTCATAGATACGGAAAGCATCAGCCAGGGATCGAGCCCGAGTCTTCTGTTTGCAGTGTTCGGGGGATCTTGGAGTATTCACGCTCCTGTTGACGAGCGACGGGTCTCTATGGGTCCTGCAACTTCAATCGGAGTGCCTGCAGTCCGCGCTAAAAGGCGACTCAATAGTACGAGGCGCTCGATTTCAAAAGCGGTGATTGTTACCGTTCTGGTACTCGCTACGTTTCTCGGTCTGGCAGAGAGCGCAGGCAGCACCATAAGTAGCACCAGCAACAGCAGCAGCAGCAGCAGCAGCAGCAGCAGTGGAGTTGGAGGTGGTGCGGGAGTGGTGTGGGAGTTGAAGTTAGGGCAAGCCGTAAACCCGGGTTACAGCAAGACCAGGACCACAGAGAACAGCGACTGGCTTGCCAACCTGCAAGGTGAGTGAGACTCCGAGTGACCGAGCCCAGCTAGCTGTTTTTGGGATGAACCAGCTTCTGAGCAGGCGACAACAGAAAGTGACTCTCCAGCCCGCAAGGGGAGAATCAAGACTCCCAAGGGGTTTCGGGTCAGCTCAGCTCACTGTTGAGTCGACTCAGGTGCAACTGACTCAGCGCCACCGACTCAAGTGCGACTGACTCAGCGCCACCTAATTATGGAAAAGCTCTCAGGTGCTCCTGCCGGATGCGTTGACGAGGAGCACAGACCGGCCGGATGCGTTGAACGAGGAGCACAGACCTTCACAACGGGCTCCGCTTGCCCTTCTCCTCTCGCCCCTCCTCTCTCCTCTCGCCCCTCCTCTCTCCTCTCGCCCCTCCTCTCCTCTCGCCCCTCCTCTCTCCTCTCGCCCCTCCTCTCCTCTCGCCCCTCCTCTCTCCTCTCGCCCCTCCTCTCCTCTCGCCCCTCCTCTCTCCTCTCGACCCTCCTCTCTCCTCTCGCCCCTCCTCTCTCCTCTCGCCCCTCCTCTCTCCTCTCGCCCCTCCTCTCCTCTCGCCCCTCCTCTCTCCTCTCGCCCCTCCTCTCCTCTCGCCCCTCCTCTCTCCTCTCGACCCTCCTCTCTCCTCTCGCCCCTCCACTCTCCTCTCGCCCCTCCTCTCTCCTCTCGCCCCTCCTCTCTCCTCTCGCCCCTCCTCTCTCCTCTCGGCCTGCCTCTCTCCCCTCGGCCCGCCTCTCTCCCCTCGCCCCTCCTCTCTCCTCTCGCCCCTCTTCTCTCCTCTCGCCCCTCCTCTCTCCCCTCGCCCCTCCTCTCTCCTCTCGCCCCTCCTCTCCTCTCGCCCCTCCTCTCCTCTCGCCCCTCCTCCCTCCTCTCGACCCTCCTCTCTCCTCTGCCCCTCCTCTCTCCTCTCGCCCCTCCTCTCTCCTCTCGCCCCGCTTCTCTCCCCTCGCCCCTCCTCTCTCCTCTCGCCCCTCCTCTCCTCTCGCCCCTCCTCTCTCCTCTCGCCCCTCCTCTCTCCTCTCGACCCTCCTCTCTCCTCTCGCCCCTCCTCTCTCGTCTCGCCTCTCCTCTCTCCGTTCGCCCCACCTCTCTCCACTCGCCCCTTCCCTCTTATCTCTCCTCGTATTCCCCAAGCTTTGCTGCCGTTCTCCCTTCGCCCTAATCGTCTTCTTCTCTCCTATGTCCTGCCTCCCTCTTTTCTGCCTCCCTCCTCGCCTCTCCTCTCTCCTCTTGCCCCTGCCCTTTTTCGCCGCTTCTTTTTCCCCTACCTTTTCTTTTCCTTTTTTCCCCTACCTTTTCTTTTACTTTTTCCCCTACCTTTTCTGCTACTTTTTCCCTACCTTTTCTTCTACTTTTTCCCCTACCTTTTCTTTTACCTTTTCCCCTACCTTTTCTTCTACTTTTTCCCCTACCTTTTCTTTTACTTTTTCCCCTACCTTTTCTGTTACTTTCCCCCTACCTTTTCTTCTACTTTTTCCCCTATCTTTTCTTTTACCTTTTCCCCTACCTTTTCTTTTACCTTTTCCCCTACCTTTTCCCCTACCTTGTCCCATATTGTTTCTCACTGCTCTCGTTCCCCCCCCTCACCACCCCCCCACCCCCCCTCTTTCTCCCACTCTTCCCCAACAACCCCGCCACCTGACAGCCAGAGTGTTTGTCAACTGTTTGTGGAGGCCCTAACGCGGCAACACTCTGCTCCGTCCCTGAGAGGCGCCTCATCCCCTCTCCCCTCTTTCCCCGCCTTCCATCACTCCCCCGCAGAACCCCACCATTTGGCCGCCAGAGTGTTCATCAATTGCGGCGGTTGCAATGCGAGAACGCTCTGGCTTGCCGTTTGTGCCGCCTCACATACCCACTTCTCCCCCCCCCCGCGCCCACACACCCCACCCACCCCACCCAACCCCCCTCCTCCCACTTCTTCCTCCCTCCCCTCCTGTCCCATTGCAGCCGGAGTGGTCATCAACTGTGGCAGTCCCAGCGGGAAAACAACGCTGTGGTTCGCGTTTCTAGGCTCCTCACCCCACCCTCCCCCCCCCCCTTTCTCCCCTCCTGCCCCATTGCAGCCGGAATGGTCATCAACTGTGGCAGTCCCAACGTGACGACGCTCTGATTGGCAGCTTGACGCTCCTCCTCAGACACCTCCTCGTTCCCCCCCTCCCCCCCCCCCCCCTCTTCTCCCCTCGTCTCACATTGCAGGCGGAGTGTTCATCAACTGCGGCGGGCCCAATGTGACGACGCTGTGGTTCGCGGACAACACGACCGTCACCTGGGCGTCTGATGCGACTCTCATGCCTCTGGGCTCGCCCTTCTCCATTGGCCCGCCGCCACCACGCAGCAACCGCAGCAGCAACAGCACATCAGCAGCACCCGTTAACGGCAGTGCAGCAGCAGCAGCCAACGCCACAGCAGCGGCCAACGCCACAGCAGCAGCCAACAGCACAGCAGCATCCAACGCCACTGCAGCATCAACCGACACCATTGCAGCGTCCTCCTCTGCCACTGCTACTGCAGCAGCAGCCATCTCCTCCGCAGCAGATAATACCACAACCACCAGTGGCGGCACTCCAAACCTCGGCAACCCAAATCAGAGCGTCAACATCTTGAGGCAAACCAACTCCACCTCATCCAACACAACCTCATCCAACTCCACCTCATCCAACGCATTCCCATTTCCTCTCCCCACACCCAAAGTCCCCCTCACGGAAACCCCCTCCGTTCCACCCACACCGGCGTCCCAAGAGGCCAAGACTCTCCTCACCTTCGCCGACCCCTCTCTCGCGCTCATGGCGCCCATGTTCGAATCCGCCCGCACCTTCAACGCCAGGGACCGCCCCACCTTCTGGTACTCGGTCCCGGTGTCGCGCCCCGCGTACTACTTTGTGCGCCTGTACTTTGCTGAGGTTGTGCACCGCGTGCCGGGCGCAAGGAGGTTCAACGTGAGTGTGGAGGGGGTGGAGGTTCTGCCGGCGTATGTCATCGGCCAGCAGTTCCCCACTGTGAATCGCACCCAGGCATCCGCTGCTGGTGGTGCTGCTGGTGGGAAAGGCAGTGGGAATTTGTCAAAAGCTGCTGGTGGCGTGGGGAATGGCAATCAGAGTAGTGGTGCTGGCAGTGGTGGTGGTGCTGGCAGTGGTGGTGCTAGCACTGCGAGCAGCGCTACCATTCTTGTGTCCACGGTCACCAACAGTGATCTGGTCAGCACAGGCAGCAGCACTGCTACCAACACCAACAGCAGCAACACTAGCACCAACAGCAGCAGCAACACAACCAGCAGCAGTAGCGAAAGGGAGGGCGACGTGTTGAGGGGCCATGTGGTGGAGGTGTATGTGCCGGTGACGGACGGCAGTGTGGACGTGTTCTTCACCTCGGGGGACATCGGT